TGTTTTTAGGCATCATAGCCAGGTTTCAATGCATCAATCATGTTAAGCTAGTGGGCTAAGCAGAAGCGAAGGCTAACTGAAACACAAAAGAAGGGGAGTGTTTAATTTGAACTTAAGTAGCTTCAGTCAATTTTTATTATGTTATTTTAATATTTTTTATTTATTTATTTTTTGCGGTGTGTCACTGCAAAAAAAAAAAAATATTTTCATATGAAGATGTAGCCCAGTGTAGCCTACTCTGGCTCATTTAGTCAGGATAAATAATTCATTTGAGTTGTATTAATTCAACCCACCAAGGCAGCTCACTTGGTTTTGAGAGGGTGAAAAAGACTAAAGTTGGCAACAAGAAAGACAATAGGTTTGAGATATAGTTAAGCTAAAATAAATATTTTCACCCATGGCATGTGTACTTTTTTTTTTACTGTGGGCCTGCTGAAGTGAATCAGCCTCCTGTAGTGTGACCAGGAGAAGCTTGAGGTATTCAGACACACAGCTCAGAGGACCCTCATGAATTAAATAGCATGCCGACTAACTCTCAGCCTGCGCTGCACTGGTGCGAAGAGATTCTGCACTGCGGGAGCGGACAGAACACCTGTGGATGTGTGAGAGAGAGAGATGGGAAAACCGGTGCACTGCAGGACTTGTAAAATCAACTTTTTCTGTTTTGGTGCATGTAGTGTTATATTAAGTTGTATTAAATCAAAGCATTCGTCAAAACAGAAAACAGTGTTTCATTTGTTAACGAAGCAGTGTTTTTTCAAATATGCATGAATCGTTCTCACTTTCTTGCACATAAGGTTTTTTTCTGAAATAACAATTTTAATTAATATGACTATTTAACTATTATGAAGTGAGTGACAAACAAACAAAATGAACAAATGACAACAAACAAATGAAATGTCTTGTTACTGAAAAAGAATTTGAGTGAATGATTCAATGATTCACTCAAATTTAAGGACTAATTGTCCTTAATGGTTTCCTCAGAGATATTAAGCAGCACAACTGTTTTTAACATTTATTACATACAATTTTTCTTGAGCAGAAAATCTGCATATTAGAATGATTTCTGAAGGATCATGTGACATTGATAATGCTGTGCCATTACTGTAATAAATTACATTTTAAAATACATTCAAATAGAAAACTGTAATATTTGTTATTTATATTATAATCTTTATAATAATCATATTATAATTTTCTTTTATAATGTTTCACAATATTACTGTCACGGTTGGTTGCAGGAAGGGAGAGAAGAAGCAGGATCTATTTGCAGCAGTCACTTTTATTTACAAAAGAAAACAAACACTGGAGACCAGGAGAGATCAGGAGATGAAGCAACCCAACATAATACAGATGAGACCAGACCATGAACTGAAACAAACGTGGATTAAATACACAGAACAAAATGACATGATTAACTAGGTGTAACACATGAGGGCCCATCAAAAACTATGAAATCAAACAAAGGAAAACTCAGACCAGGACAAAACAGGGAAAAACACAGATGAAACCTGACATTTACACCCTTCCCCAGTAGGCGCCTCCTGGCACCATAAACAAAAACATCACCAAAGTGGAGGGGAGAGGGTTACCAAAACTCTGTGGGTGGGAAGGAGGGCTAAAAGGTAACACAAGTCCATAGGGGTGCAAGGAGAAAAGTCCAAGGAGACTCTGAATGGACGCTATGGCTCTCCCTGACGATGCCGAAGAAACGGCTGCCCACAGCTGAGCTCTGTGTGGTGATGAGCAGAGCGGAGGTCAGAGTCAGAGTCAGGGAGGCTGGAGAACCAGGCGAAGCCGGAGGGACAGGGTGACGCCGCAGGAGGAGCCAGGAGATCCGAGACAAAGGAGTTTGGCTGTTGGGCGGGACCAGCAGAGACAAAGGAGCTTGGCTGTTAGGCGGGGCTAGTGTAGACAAAGGAGCTTGGCTGTTGGACGGTACCAGCGGAGACAAAGGAGCTTGGCTGTTGGGCAGGACCAGTGGAGACAAAGGAGTTTGGCTGTTGGGCGGGGCTAGTGTAGACAAAGGAGTTTGGCTGTTAGGCAGGACTAGCAGAGATAAAGGAGTTTGGCTGTTAGGCGGTACCAGCGGAGACATAGGAGCTTGGCTGTTGGGCAGGACCAGTGGAGACAAAAGAGTGTGGCTGTTGGGCGGGACCAGCGGAGAAAAAGGAGCTTGGCTGTTGGGCAGGACCAGTGGAGACAAAAGAGTGTGGCTGTTGGGCGGTACCAGCGGAGACAAAGGAGCTTGGCTGTTGGGCAGGACCAGTGGAGACAAAGGAGTTTGGCTGTTGAGTGGGACCAGCAGAGACTAAGGAGTTTGGCTGTTGAGCGGGACCAGCGGAGACAAAGGAGCTTGGCTTTTGGGCGGGACCAGCAGAGACAAAGGAGCTTGGCTGTTGGGCGGGACTAGCAGAGATAAAAGGAGCTTGGCTGTTGGGCGGGACCAGCGGAGACAAAGGAGCTTGGCTGTTGGGCGGGATTAGCAGAGATAAAGGAGCTTGGCTGTTGGTCAGGACAAGCAGAGACGAAGGAGCTTGGCTGTTGGGCGGGATCAGCGGAGATGAAGGAGCTTGGCTGTTGGACGGGGCTAGCGGAGACAAAGGAGCTTGGCTGTTGGACGGTACCAGCGGAGACAAAGGAGCTTGGCTGTTGGGCAGGACCAGTGGAGACAAAGGAGTTTGGCTGTTGGGCGGGACCAGCAGAGACAAAGGAGCTTGGCTGTTGGGCAGGACTTAGGGAGACAAAGGAGCTTGGCTGTTGGACGGGGCTAGCGGAGACAAAGGAGCTTGGCTGTTGGGCGGGACCAGCAGAGACAAAGGAGCTTGGCTGTTGGGCAGGACAAGCGGAGACAAAGGAGCTTGGCTGTTGGGCTGTATTAGCAGAGATAAAGGAGCTTGGCTGTTGGGCGGGACAAGCGGAGACGAAGGAGCTTGGCTGTTGGGCGGGATCAGCTGAGACGAAGGAGCTTGGCTATTGGGCGGCACCAGCGGAGACGAAGGAGCTTGGCTGTTGGGCGGCACCAGCGGAGACAAAGGAGCTTGGCTGTTGGGCGGGACCAGCGGAGGCAAAGGAACTTCGGTTTTGGGTGGGACCAGCGGAGACAAAGGAGCTTGGCTGTAGGGCCGGATTAGCAGAGATAAAGGAGCTTGGCTGTTGGGCGGGACCAGCGGAGACAAAGGAGCTTGGCTGTTAGACCTAGCACTAGGTCAGTGGCGGGCATGGGCTCTGTTTCTGGGTCCATGGCGGGCATGGCGAGGGACTAGATGGGCTCTGAAAGATGAGTGGGGACTGGTTTGGGTGCTGTAGGGTTGGGACCCTCCTCTCTCTCACATACGGTGGAGGGGGATCCACAGTGAAAAAGCACCCATTCCACATACTTACAAAGCGTCCAGCGAGGACCATCTCCAGGCAGACGTGTTTTCGTCTGGGCATTGAGTCCTGACCAGAAAAACATGGAGGCTGTCGTCAGGGTAACGAATGAGGTGAGCCAGATCTAAGAAACTCTGAGTGTGGTCCTCGAGGAAGTGATCCCCCTGTGAGAGATGGAGGATCCATCCTGCTGCTAGATCCATCAAATTGGGTCAGTTTCTCTGTCACTGCTGGTTGCAGGAAGGGAGAGTAGAAGCAGTATCTATTTACAACAGTCAATTTTATTCACAAAAGACCAAAACAAAAAACACACTGGGGACCATGAAAGAGCAGGAGATAAAGCATCCCAACATAATACAGACGAGAACCAAACATAAGCTGAAACAAATGGGGATTAAAGCACATGAGGCCAAATCAAAAACCATGACAACAAACAAAGGAAAACTCAAACTAAGACAAAACAGGGAAAACACAGAGGAAATCAGACAATTAATGATTTGATCGAAGAAATGTAGCCTTGGTGAGCATGAGAGAATTCCAAAACATGTTTTTAAATTTTGAACAGTAGTATACATTTATATTTAAGATTTATGTTTAGATTTAAAATTTAGATGCATTTTTTTTTTAAAATATATTGAACACAGTTAACTTTGCATTTGGATGACCATGCTATAATTATTTCAATCAATTGTGAAAGAGAAAATTTCCATATGAAAAATCTTTATTTTTTAAAACTTTATTCCAAAACACACATATACATCTGTCTTTGCCACACCATGTCTTGAATAATCATGTTGGTAGCAGGTCGTTACATAACCGATGTTCATTTCCCTCATTTTTGCATAACAAGATTGAAAAGAAACCCATTGCTTGTCTGGAGAGAAAAAAATGATTGTGTGTCAGGATGCAGGAATCAGCAAAACACTCTGGCAAACCATCTTTTATTATGTCAAAACAATTTCAGAGAGAATTCCGGCCTGTCAGTCCCACTTTTAACCTGGATGGACTGAACTGGTTTGTGTCAACTGGACAGATTTCCGTCAGCTTTGAGTACATTGTGAAAAAGCACTGAACAATGACTGGTGTCATGAGCATCAGATAATCACTCCGAGATTCCAACTGCTTTGTGAAAATGAAATTTTACTGTAACTCAGCCCTGTTCTCTAAACACAGACAAACATTCCAGCCTCCTAAACAAACATGCTATTGCATCACAGTGAAGTTCAGTGGAGCGTTCAGGATTTTACCGAACTAATGGCAAAATCACAAAATGGAAAGAATTACAGTATTCTCTCCAAAAAAAGGTAATTTATCATACCAGAGGAAATATAGAAAATACTTAACATGCCTTCTTGCGTTCTTGATGATAACAAACCTCATTACTCAAAAGGCTAATTCACACAGCTAGCTACATTTCAATCATTTAAAGTTGACTTTTGGATTTAGTATGTTGGGAAACACAACTGCCATGTTCAAACTGAACCAACAAAAGCCAACATGGTTAAATATCCCAATGACCGAACCAATGAAACCCAACAACTATTTGGTGTTCTCTTCAATCTACTGCTCTGTCTTTACAAAAGTTCACCTGAAAGAAAAAAAAGTGAATATACTTGCAGAGTTACGAATTGCTTCATCTTGGAACGAGACACCAAATTGAGCTAGAATCTAGAAGCATTTGATTGCGTAGAGTATGTTGCAGACCTAAAGATTCTGATTGTAAGGTAGCTACTCTAAAAACAGCCATGCAGACATGTGGCAGCGCCTTACATTATTGCTTTGTAAAGGAGGACAACTGGGACTTCTACGAGTGACAATGATCTAGACACATACTGTAACTCCTACAGTAAAGGTATATTCATAGTCAGGTTATTTGATATATTAGGAGAAAACCTAAACATCTACATTGTGTGCAAGATTTCAACATGACACTGAAATCAAAAATATAAATTAGTGCATTCATGAAGGTAACAGCAGGAATAACATAGAAAGCAATAGAACATCCTGAGAAGGAAATAAAATGGTGGTTGGTTTTTAAGTGTGCACATTTGATATAATTAACATTCAATGTTAATTTTTAAACAAATTGTCATTAATATCCAGTTTCAGATCATGTAGTCATTGTTTTTGTCAGTGTGAACGTCCCTTTAGTCTGTTGTGTAGAATTCAGGAATGGGGAAATGTTGGATAATCAAACTTCATGCCCTATTCTACATATAATTCTCTTTCTTACATCTGCAAATGGAATGATACAATCTATTGTGAGAGGTAGGAGGAGGAATTTTCTGTTGTTCCCACACTTGTAGAAACAGGATTTATTCAGCACTGCATCTACATCCATTCTGAGCGAGTGATGCTGGGTCAAAAGAGCAGGGCTATCAGACATCTGAACACTTTAAACCTCAGGGAATCAAGAGGTGTTGCTCCCGTAACATGATCTGAGATTTGGATCTGAGATCAACTTCTTAAGTGGTCTTGATCCAATCCATGTCCTTGCTCTTGTCTGACAGAGCTCTGCTTGGTTGTCTAGGTTTTGTAGAGATGAGGTGAGACTTGAATCGTATCACTATATTACAGTTTTAGAGTCCGACTTTGTCCTTTTGAGTCTTTGAAACCCCATCCAGTTTTGCATAAAAAGACGGTCCTGTCTGTTAAATTGGTGTGGAGTTAACAGTCTCCTCTACAGCTCCACCGCCAGGCAGATTCTCTCTCTCTCTCTGACTGTCTGTCTGTAGCAGGAACAAGGACTCTTGTATCCGCCAGGAAGACGAGAGAGCTGCCAAAAGGATAGTGAGCTAAGAAATGTTGCCGAAGGAAGCTGTAAAGAGAGAAAAGAGACCGAAGAATGAAAAAGAGCATAAATTATTCATGTGATTGGAGGAAATAACATGCAGAGAAGGGATGTGCATCACAGAACCTCTGTTGTTAGACATTTACTCACTATGTCAAACTTTACCTTCTCATCTACAAGATCCCTCTGGACCTCCATGTTCTCCCAACTAATGTGCATGTTATCAGGGAGATATTCAAAGCCTTAAAAACACCCCCATATATAACCATGTATCAGGTGCACATTTCAGATGTGAAGGCTGTTCCTAGTAAAGGTACACTCTTAAAAATAAAATGGCAATTGAAGAACCTTTCAGTGAGTAGTTCTCAAAAGAGCAATTTTTTAGTGTGAAGAACATTAAAGGTTCTCTAAGCGATCCTGGGTGATGTCACTTCTTGTTGACGTTCGAACTATTGTCAAACAAAACGGAGGCTAGCTAGACCCTCCCTCCTCCTCATCCGCACACTAGCCCCCCAAACCACACCCCCAAACCCTTCTTGTCGGTCATTGGCTGGAACAGTTTGTTATGTTTCGGGGAGCGGGTCGCCGCAGTTTGTTTTTGTTGCTGTTTGTGGAGCCTGGGCTGTCTACAGAGATCGCGTTTCTTTACAGTGTGTTCAGGGGACAGGCAGCCAGTGGTTAGTGAGGAGATGTTTGCTGTGTGTGACAACAAATGTTTTGGCCTAAAAAACGCGTGACATCGCTTAGAGCACCTTTAATCTAAAGATCAACCTTTTTCCACTATAAAGAACCTTTTTTGCTATCGAAAAACTTTTTGGATTTTAAAAGTTCGAATCATTGATGCCAATAAATAACCTTTATTTTAAGATACCTTTATTTGTCCACAATCCCAAGGGAGTATGTATAGGAGTTTCATTTAAAAAATTGCAAATCTAATGAAAAAAAAAAAACTACTTTAACTAATATCTGTGTGTGCAACATTTTAGCCCATTTACAGTCTCTCCAAAGTCTCCTTATAGGGATAGTTCACCCAAAAATTAAAATTATTTAGTCATTTACTCACCCTGATGTCTTCCTAACCTGTATGACGTTCTTTCTTCTGTGGAACATAAAAGATGTTTTGAAGAATTTTCACACAATTGAGGTCAATGGTAACCAAAACCGCTTGGTTGCCAACATTCTTCAAAATATCTCCTTTATGTTTCACAGAAAAAGAAAGAAAGCCATACAGGTTTGTTAAGGTATGAGGGTTCACTTGGCAGGCAGCCATTCTATATGTAGACAATAGGCCATACAAAATAGTGATGGGAGAAACTGAGCTTTTTGAACCTCTTAATCAATTGAACCAATAGCTCTGTAGCGTTTAAGACACATACCAGGACAAACCGCTTGAGAGTGGTTAACCCTTAAAAGCATACCTCAGGTCTTTAGGGACCCGGGACGTCATTTACTACCTTCCTCCTCATTCATTTTCTAAAGTTAGACATCAACCTTCTTAGAATTCCTCAATCAATTCATTATAAAAAATATAACAAGAGAAAAAAACTGGCAATGTCTGATACACAATGATAAAGTGACGTTTCATTCATAGTTACTGAGGCAAACAAAAGAATAGGAAGAATTATCAGCAAAGGTTGAAATGGCTCAGGGATTTACTGCAGAGCAAGTACTGAACTCAGTCAAATATAAGTGTCACTGTCACTTCATGCTGGATCTGACGAAGAAGCTGTCAGTGATCAAGATATTGATTTTGAAGAAGTTGAAAACGATAGTTTTGAGAATATGTTTGAGATGGCGAATATGAGCCAGATGCTGAATGTACTGGGAAATGAGCTCTGATGAGGACAGTGATGATGGTATAAAACATACCAAACTGAACCCTTCCAAGCTCCGAAAGTTAACAAAATATGCTTTATTTTATTCTTCTGTAATTATTACTCTAATATCAGGAGAGTTTTATATTATCGCGACAGCTAGAGATCCATCTGTGTTAGATATAGCTCCGGGTCGCTAAAGACTAATATGTAATAATGACTGGCAAAATATTCATGCATTTAAGGGTTAAGGGTTTACCTTGAGATCAACAGCCTCTAGTGTCAAACCACTGAAATTTCGATGACTTTATGTGACTTGGCCAGTTTGATTCCACCGAATCAAAACAAAAGAGTCACAAAGGATTCAAAGTTTCATGTAATCAAAAGTACCTATTGCTAATACAAATACAGCTAATATCTATTGTCTGACAAAATTATGTTTCAATAACATACTTCAGATCACATGTACTGCAATATCTGACAACAATGGTATGAGTGGTATCTGTATTGCTTCTTTTGCTAAAATTACCCTAAAAATGGTTTCTGTCTCATTTAACCGATTTTACGTTTAACTGACTTCCACTCCTTCCAACATAAGCTCATTGGAAAAAGACGCCTGTACCAAAATTTTTGTAAAACTCGTACCTATACATACAATTCCCTGCAGTTTCCAGCTAAAATCAACACTAGTGAAAGTAAAACACCACCAACTTTTAGTGCAATATACATTTTGACGTTTGCCTCACATAACCAGCTCCCTATGTAGTAAACTCACCAAGTACAACATTGCACTTGCTGCATTTACATTTATGCTTTTGGCAGACGCTTTTAGCCAAAGCGACTTACATTGCATTTCAAGGTACACATTTACATTCGTATCAGTTCTTGCTTTCCCTGGGAATTGAACCCATGACCTTGGCGTTGCAAGTGCCAACGCTCTACTGTTTGAGCTACAGGAAAGCATTAGAAGACAGGCTGCCATTTGTCTCAATAGATTTAAAAAAAGAGCAAAAAACTGGTATGGATTTGCACAAATATTGTTCCAATTGTAATTTGACTAGTGTGTACTTAAAAAAAAAAAGAAGAAGAAGAAAAAAACCTTCCGCAACACAAAATTCTTAACATTCAGATGTGCAGCAAGCCGTCATTCACACTGGAAGTGAGACAGACCGGACAGATGTTGTTTGAGTGGAGGTTGTCTAACGGTAGCAATTAACATAATTCTCAAGAACATCATGGCTTGCGATATTTCTTATCTGTCACCAGAAGAGAGTGTTATCGGAGAAAAATGCAGGAAGGATCTTTTCATCAAGGGCAGAAACAAAAAGGACTAGAAAAAATGAGATCACATCAGAATGCATTATAACTGTAGCAGCTGACAGGAAACACGGCATGATTTATTTCATTATTTCTTTCTTTTTTTTCTTTCTTTTTTTGGAATGCAATCAGTTTATAGGGATTGTAAAAAAAAAAGCTGATTGCAATTTAGAGATGCGTTTCTTCCGGGCCAGGGCAATCAATGATAGTCTTTTTCAATCTGACGAGAAAGGATGAAAATGAAAGTTAAAAAAATATAAAAGTATGATGGAACGACCAATTCAAGTCACCGAACAATGGACAATCAGAGACAAACGCATTTGAGGAAAGGAACAGGTGGAATGGCTTGTGCTGCCGTGACATCAGTGCCAGAGTTGCTGAAAGTCAGAATGATTGGTGAATGTGTGTTATCCGCAGCACTGTCTCTGATGAAGATACCTGATTACTGACGTCCATCTGATGACATATACAATGGAAAGAGAGAGAGCAGAGAAAGGGAGGAGTTAAGATACTGACCCACTACTTCCAAAAACCCCGATTTCAGTAGAAAAGTAGTTTTTTCAGTAGCATGTGAATAATAGCAAGTAATAAACGCTTTTTAACTGTCTTGATTTAACTAAGGCTTAGTCCTGGCTTAATCTAAGCCCTGTCTGTGAAACCAGGCCTATATTTATTTTAGGTAATACTATATTTGACTGTGTCCTTACACATGTAGTTACTGTAGTAATCACTATTAATTACACATAATAACATGCATATAACTAACCCTTAAACAAACTCTAATCCTATAGCACATGCAGTTAATTATTATTACTCAGTACTTAAATGTATAATTACACTGAAACAAAGAAACTATAAAATAAAGTTATATACACTCACCTAAAGGCTTATTAGGAACACCTGTTCAATTTCTCATTAATGCAATTATCTAATCAACCAATCACATGGCAGTTGCTTCAATGCATTTAGGGGTGTGGTCCTGGTCAAGACAATCTCCTGAACTCCAAACTGAATGTCAGAATGGGAAAGAAAGGTGATTTAAGCAATTTTGAGCGTGGCATGGTTGTTGGTGCCAGACGGGCCGGTCTGAGTTTTTCACAATCTGCTCAGTTACTGGGATTTTCATGCACAACCATTTCTAGGGTTTACAAAGAATGGTGTGAAAAGGGAAAAACATCCAGTATGCGGCAGTCCTGTGGGCGAAAATGCCTTGTTGATGCTAGAGGTCAGAGGAAAATGGGCCGACTGATTCAAGCTGATAGAAGAGCACCTTTGACTGAAATAACCACTCGTTACAACCGAGGTATGCAGCAAAGCATTTGTGAAGCCACAACACGCACAACCTTGAGGCGGATGGGCTACAACAGCAGAAGACCCCACCGGGTACCACTCATCTCCACTACAAATAGGAAAAAGAGGCTACAATTAGCAAGAGCTCACCAAAATTGGACAGTTGAAGACTGGAAAAATGTTGCCTGTTCTGATGAGTCTCGATCTCTGTTGAGACATTCAGATGGTAAAGACAGAATTTGGCGTAAACAGAATGAGAACATGGATCCATCATGCCTTGTTACCACTGTGCAGGCTGGTGGTGGTGGTGTAATGGTGTGGGGGATGTTTTCTTGGCACACTTTTAGCCCCTTAGTCCCAATTGGGAATCGTTTAAATACCACGGCCTACCTGAGCATTGTTTCTGATCATGTCCATCCCTTTATGGCCACCATGTACCCATCCTCTGATGACTACTTCCAGCAGGATAATGCACCATGTCACAAAGCTCAAATCATTTCAAATTGGTTTCTTGAACATGACAATGAGTTCACTGTACTAAAATGGGCCCCACAGTCACCAGATCTCAACCCAATAGAGCATCTTTGGGATCTGGTGGAACGGGAG